AGTCACCTCTGTCCTGAAGGGAGAAAGCAACGCAAATCTCTCTACAGCTGTTAGCAATAGGGCTTGCAAAACGGCAAGATCAAACAAAATGATGTGATTTTATTTTCCCCCACTGAAGGGAATCTTTCTGCTGCACGACATGAGATCACAATGTAACTGGCGTCCTGCAGCCAAATTGTGGCATTTCAGACCTGGGCTTTATTTATATAGTAGGTGCATACACACAAGCCCATTGATAGGACAGTAATGAAGTCAGACAAATTGGCTTAGTGAATTTCAGGGAATCTAGTGAAATATCTTTAAGCCCTTAACAGTTGAGGACAGTTAGGGCCCGATCCTGTTTCTTTTGAAGTCCGTTCCAAAATGGACAGAAAAGAGACCAGCATGAGATCCTTTCATCAGCAAATTAGAAAAAAAAATTTGAGGAGCACCGTGTACATTTGCAGCCCTTTCGCTTTTATTGGCGCTTATCTTTTCCTTGGTAGCAAAAGTGGGTGTGGGGTGGACTTGGATTCAGAGATCACTGCTTTCAGCTCCTTACTAAAGAGCGCTTGAATACAAATCTGGATGTTTAGCACACTGCGTTGTTGGGAGTAAAGAAAATGCAAGTTGCTGTGGCGTCTAGCTTCATCCGATCTCCCCATGTCTCCATTTCTTTCCCATCACTCCCTCTCCTAGTGACTTACATATTTCTTGGTATTGCTGCACTTTTTGTTTTTCTTAAGTCCTGTGCTATATGTGTGGGTCTTTCTCCCTTCGGATCATTAGCTGCGTAACTCAAGAGAGACAGGGAACATGCATGCAAACCAGCACGTCTGGGGGGGGGGGAAGTTGGGGTTAAAGAGGGTAGTTGGTTTATTCACCCATGTTGGAAATGCAGTGTCTCTTTAGTCCTAATTGAAACCAGTTAGCCAAAGCATTGGCTGTACAGTAGTCTCTGTATAAAACCACTGAGCTCTCTCTATGTCTGGCTGGCTCTGGCACACCAGGATTCTAGGAGCATCTTGCGGACAGGACATGTGGACTGCGTTCAGAGGGGCCGTATAGACAAGACGCTTAGAGAAACTTGTTTCCGAATCGGGCCATCAATCATCCCCACTGATTCCTGTGTCTACAGCCCTTTATGAATCAATAATGAGTCGGGAGATAGAAAAGTAAATATGCCGGGATTTCATTAGTGCTCGCTGAGCAAAAGCAGGGGTAATATTTAACCCTTTCGCGGCTGGAGGACGAAAAAGCGTCTCGAGTCAATGTTTAATAAGCGCCAGGGGATAGCAGGCAGATATGCACGATAAGGGAAGCCCAAGAGGAAAGCAAAGCGTGATAACAATCAATAAGCCTGGACGAGCGCAGGTACAACTTCATTGGAACCCTGGCTGGTTCGGAAACAGGCTGGGCCAGTGGTTCAGTCTGCACCAAGGCGTGTATTTGTATCCCCCCTCCGCACAGGTCACAGAGTTACAATCTGTAGGGAGACACCGCGGATCCGCATAGATTTTTTTTTTTAAAGGGTGACCGTCTCTTACTGTCATCACACAATTCCCCCTTCTGCACTAGTCGGTATTCTACCTGCTTGTGTTCTAACCACAGCTCGCCACGTGCGTATTGAAGGGACTTCTCACGTCTATGCTTGGTGACTGATCTGTGGGCTATTTTCCAGGTTAGCTTTAAAAAATATACACGCACAACTGAACATCATTTCTCTCATAAGTCTTCTTTAGTTCTTCCAGCAGTGTTACAAAAAGTATCACGTTTAACCCCTTCTCTCCCCCCCCCAAAAAAAATCCGTTTCATTAGCATCTCCAAAGAGTGGGGTAGTGTGGTGGTGGTTTTACTGATCACACGTCTCAGAGCAACATGTTCCTTCCGTGGCTCGTTTTTCCTAGTGAAATAACGAGGAAGGGAGCGCTCGCTGTGAGCTTTCGGAGCCCCAGAAGATGCCCGCAGAGCCTGAGAAGTGCAATGCTCACACAGCTTTAATCTGGTGCAGCGTATTTCTTATGACACTGGAAGCAAATAGATACTATCTGATTATTCCAGGGGACACCCTGCGTCCCCAAGCGCAGCTGGGTTTAGTTCTCATCAGAACGCTGCATCCCTCTTCAAAGCCAGTTGTGTGTTCAAAGGTGCTTTGCATTAAGTGTATACCCCCACGCACCCAAGCGATCTAGCTAGAGATCCCTTCTTAGTCCTCCGTGGTGCTTTTTTAATTTTAAGTTGCCAGCGCTTTGGTCATTTTACGGTTGTATTCCCACAAGTCCGAGCTGGTTTTTTTTTTTATCAGATAAATTAAAATTCATTAAGAGCACTGAACACTGCATAGACACTTCCTACATAAATGGACCTCTGCCCCTTGAACCTTTCCACTGACACAGTTATTCTGTGGGAATCCAGACTGCTAAAGCCACTATAGTGCTCTTCTCAGGCCTGTTTTCCTATTTTTTGTTGTTCAATTAGCACTGGTGATTTATTCAATGCATGCATGAGGGGACATTAATATGCGGTGGCAGTTCCCACAAACAATATTCCTCTCAGTCTTTCTGCAGCCATAGCATGGCAAAGAAAAAGGCAATACGTGGAAATAAGGTTCTGACATCTTTTCTGTATAACCCACTGTCTCCCTTCCCAATGTTCAAAAGAAGGATGACATTATATTCCTGTAGTGGTCTGTGCACTGAGGTGTTTGGGATCAGACTGCTGCCCCTTTTTAAAAGCTGAAATGCTTCTCTATCAGTTAGCTGGGCTTCCTGTCGCTGACAAGGCAGTGATGAGTATGGGGCTTAAGGGAGGATTTTGTTGTGGAGTTACTGTATTTGCTTTTCATTTTTCCCACTCTGTTCTTAACTGATTTGTTTTCCAAACATGCCGTGTGTCATTCCTGCAAGGGCAGCTGGCTCTCCTTGGGAAGAGAGGATAGTTTGGGGATTTTTAAAGAGGGATTTAAAGTTAAATCCCCTGTTCACAGTTTGAAAGTACCAATCCTCAACCTTCCGGGCTGCTGCTTTCTTTGCAACTTTCTAATTCCCACACCAAGGCGCTGAGCAGAACAGAGGCTGGCTGCAGTTGACTTAGATAAATGATTATCATCCACTTTGGACTTTAAAGCAACTAATTGCTTAGCTGTTGGGATAGTGGCGGTGTAGGGGCGCTGGGGTAGAAGTAGAGCGGCGGTGTTGTATTCTCGCTCTGTGAGCACCTGCTGTTACTGAACACAAGGAGTTAATATCATTGTCATGTTTCAAAATGCCAGAATAAACAAACTGGGCAGATTGAGAGGCGAGAAAGACAATGGGGGTGGAGTGTGCTGCACGGATCCTAGAGGAACCGTATTGATCACGCTTTTAAGGTTCTAGACATTTTTAAAATGTTTCGTTAGAGCATTTTAATAAAGACTGATTTCTTCCCCAGCCCCCACTAAAGCTCAGAGGGAGACATGTTAAACTCAATGGGCCCATGTGCTGCTGCATCTATAACTTTAAATTATCTACACATCCACAGTGTGAGCAAGGGAGTTGCTTGGGGGGGGGCAGACTGTTTGGCAGGGAAAGTAAAGTACAGACCCTTTGAAACCAAGCTTCACAGAGGGACCCTGGGAAGTGTTTGAAAGGGAAACACTGCACAACGCCTCCATTGCCAGTGAGACCTTCAGCTCTTGAATGTAACAAGCAGGCTGCCAACGTTCTAAGGTTTGCTACAGTGAGTCCATACAAGTGTCATCAGTAAGAACCATCCTGCTGTTTGATGTTGGGTTTGAAAGTAGCACGTTTAGCTGCTTTAGCGTCTATCAGTGCATAGTAAATCCCATGAAACTGTGTTAGAGCGGAGTTTGAAGCCAAAACTACAGTGTAGAGTAAACCATGTTAAGGGTTAGAAATGGATTTTGCAACTCTGCACGGATGTGTGTGGAATGATGACCCTCGTTGTAGAATTAAAATAAACTTCCAAAAATCACTTTTAAAACCCAATGATGCACGTCAAAGATCAGTTTAGCTGGATCATGCCCTTTAAACTTTTTTGGACCTTTAAATATATTTATCAAACACAAGACATTGGAGAAGTAAACCCTTCAAAGAAATGCCATTTCAATTATTTTAATAAGCAAAATAGGAAACAATTTTAATAACCAAAAACAGAAACCAGTCTGAATAAAACTACAATAGACCAGGTTTTTTAATATTTTTCATATCATAAGCAGGATTTGAAATTGATCCCTTCAGAACTTTACATGAAATAAAAACAATTTTTTTCGCTGCTGCAATGTTTTGATTTCAACACAGTTGAATCAGTAAAAACCAAAGATCGTTTTCTGATGCATGACTAATATCCACAATATTTAAAACTGCAAGCACCATGCTGTTCATTACAATCTTGTTATTACTGTTAATTTATAAACTAATACAAACTTAAAATGCATCCGGCCAGCAGTGCCAGCAATCAATCCTAAAAGGAAACTAAAATAAGTTTTCATTTTGGTATTTTTGTCAGTGCAACGTAAAATCCTTTTTCTGACCTGCAGGAGGAAAAAAAAGTAACAACACCCATAACACTCCAAACTACTACTATACAACTGCAAAGAAATTTGGCTAAAACTTTTGCTGCATGGGGAAGCAGAGAAGCAGATTAAAAATCATTGCAAATAATACACTTAAGTTGCAGTATGTCTCTTTAAAAAACGTTTCAGTTTTCTATACATTCCAAGCCCTTTCATCTGCTGTTGCCATTGAGAAACCTAACTGAAATCAGAACTGGAACTGATACATGTTATTGTTGTATAGTGTTCTGCCTACAGCGATTGCAACTGACTCATGTCATCCTGGGTTTTGGAAATCAAGTCTCAATTGTTTCTTAAAAGAAAATACATTGTAAATTCTTTGTTTCCTGAGTGTATAATAAATCCGAGAAAAAATGACCAAAGCTATGAGCACTGCTGTGTGATAACTGTCCTGACGTCAAAGTAATAGGTTCACTGCCACTTAAATTGTGGAGTAGGATATAGCTGCTGGCCTTTTTCACTATTATTAAGTTTAGGTTTGTCAATGCAATCGAGTTGCTTTTATTCTGCCCCAACAAACAAAAACCAAAATGAAAACTAAAGAAAAAATTACAACTTAAAAGTGCACCAAATATACAAAGTTGTTTTCTGAATGCAAATGCAAAATGCCCATAACGTTTTTTATTCTCTTTACTTTAATAACAAACCATATAACCAGCCTGATGAAATGTTATTTTGTCTTCCTGTGCTGTTTGATGTGGCAGATATTTACAAGCTAACAACTATAACAAAACAAAAAACCCCAAACAAAAAACCCCAACAAAACTGCACAAGCAGTAAAAAGTTGATAACTTGTGATGCTTTTCTTATCAATGAAACAAAGCTATGAACGATGATCAACATGCTAAAGTTAAACAAGAAAATGGTACAAAATAGAAATTATTACCATACATGTCCAGCATGCAGGATTAATATTTTTAATGCAGATTTTCGTATTTTTTTCTATATAATCAAGCAGGCAATAAAACTGATGTTTTTTCTTGTCTTGTACTGAATGTCCCATCTGAGTCCCGTAACTATTTCTCAAAGCAGGCAATATATGAGGGGTTTGCATATATTGTCCTTTACTTATTCTCCTTTCCAAGCAGGTAAAATGTGCATAAGATGCTGCTGCATGAGTCTTCTTTCCTTTACTCCCAAGCAAGTAATATGTTATAGATCGCTTGTTCATTGTCCCTTTAAAAAACAAAAAAACCAACGAGCCCATATAGTTCTGAAAGCAAGCGATCTATAAAAACGCTTTACACGTCCTTCCTTTCTTCTGTTTCTTTCTTTAGCTGGCGAACTAAAGATAAAAAGTTGCACGTCTCTCTCTCTCTCTTCCCCCACCTACCCCCAGCCTACTTTTCACAGCTAATCTATAAGACAGGATGCTGCAAATATTAAGTCTCTCTTCTTCCTCTCTACTCAAGCAGGCAGATGGATGGAGATGTCAGAGGAGGATGGGAGAAGCGGAGGGGCGGAGGAGGAGATCGGGGGGGTTGTGTTTAAAGGACTCACATGAAGAACTCAGGAGAAGATGGGTTGTCACTGGTGGATCCGGCCTCCCTGAAGCCATTGCTGGCAAGTTTCTCACACTTGAGCTTGTAGGCATCTCTTTCTCTGGCCAGCCGGGTCACCTCTTGCTTGAGCTGTTCCACCTGCTGGATCAGCTGGGTCTTCTCGTTCTCCAGGTGGTGCTTCTGCTGGACTCGCTTATACCTGCAGGACTGGGCATAGCCCCTGTTCTTCAACGTCCTCCTCTTCTGCTTGAGGCGGATCACCTCGTCCTTGGTGAAGCCCCTCAGGTGCCTGTTGAGCTCCCTCACCGACATGGAGACCAGCTGTTCGTCCGAGAACCTGTCTTCCACGCTGTTGGAGGAAGGGTGCTGCTGGTGGGCGTTCTGCAGCTGCTGGGAGGAGGTGGAGGAGGTGGAAGGGGTGGGAGACGCCTGGTGATGATGATGATGGTGGTGGTGATGGTGATGCGGGTGCCCGCTGTTGGCCAGGTCTTCGTGGGTGACCCCCGGGTACTGGTGGTGGTGCTGCTGCTGGTGATGGTGGTGGTGGTGGGCCCGGAAGCTCTCAAAGCTTTGGAGCTGCTGGGGCATCTGGTGGGACCCGATGAGGGCTTCCACCGCGTCCTCCGGGGTGAGGCTGAGCGTCTCGGGGTTCATCTGCTGGTAGCTGTTGGCCATCCAGTACAGGTCCTCCAGGTGGGTCTTCTGCTCGGTGGGGCTGAAGCTGGGCGAGGAGGGCACCGAGCTGCAGGGCGTGCTGATAGGGGTGGAGGAGACGGAGCCGGCTGGCTGCAGGCGGGTGCAGTGGCGGCCGGGCCGGTCGGCTCTGCCCAGGGGCTCCTTCTTCACGTCGAATTTCATCAGGTCGAAGTCGTTGACGTACTCCATGGCCAGGGGGCTGGTGGGCAGCTCGGGTCCGATGCTCAGCTCGCCGGCCATGGCTGTCTCGCAGGCGCCTCTGGGCTGGAGCGCTCACTCCAGGGCACCGTCCGGGGGGAGGGCTGGCCGCGCTCCCTCGGACTCCAGGTCAACTTCGCTGCTGCTGCTGCTGCTGGCTGGCGGAGGGCAGCCAAGCCAAGCGGGCGGAGGAGGCGGAGGCACCCGGGCCGCGAGGCGTGGGGTAGCGGTGTCTGCAATGCAATGCAGGCTGCAGAGGCTCCCACGGCTAAGAAAACCCCACGGGCGAAGGGGGGAGGAAGGAAGCAGGAGCCTCCCCACCGCAATGCTGGCGTTGCAGGTTGGCCTCTTTTGCAAAGGAAAAAGCAGGAGAGATTCTGTGCCCCGGCTGGGATCGGTTTGTAAGTCCTGAGCCTCGGACCCCCTCCACTGCAGGCGCGGAGCCGGAGCCCGCTGCAACTTTCCAGGCAGAGCAGCGGGCGGCGTGTACTGGAGGGTTGCTGTTGGATGGGTTATTTTGGTGGTTGGAATTTTTGTTCGCTCGCTCTCGCTCGCAATGAAGGGAAGGGGTGGGGGAGGTGGGGAAATCTTGTCTCTGCTTTAGCTGCCGCCTCCAGCTCCTGTTGTGCAGCTGTGATTTGCGAGGCAGCCCCCCTGGCTGCTTATATTCCTTTTCTGATGACACTCAGGGAAAGGGGGCTGGGACCGCCAGGCAGCTTCTCCAATGGGAGCTCGGCCGCGGAGATCCTGGGGCTGCCGGAGGTGGGGCCAGGCTCCCACAATGTGACAGCTCCCAACGAGTCAGCTGACTAGCAGCTGGAGAACAAGACCAGGCAGCGACTCCAACCCTTTTTTCTTTCTTTCATGTTTTAATCTTCCCACTTTCTCTCCCCGATCTGCTCCCCCCCTTTTCTGTCTCCCTCCCCTCCCTTTCTCTCTTAGCCTGTGTAATTTACAAAGAAGGAGCGGGGGGCAATCCAGCCTATGTTTCACTTGCTGGCCATCCCTTTGTTCTAAATATAACAAAGTCCCTCTGCCCACTCTGTTTTGTGGAGGTGGGAGGATGGAATGGTTTGAATGCAACTTTTCATTGTCCACTTTCCAGGAGTACAGTCAAAACACTTAATCTCTTGTAGGATTCAACTGTGATCGTTGCATGTCTGTGTGTGTGTGTGTGAGAGAGAGAGAGAGAGAGAGAGAGAGAGGGTTGGGAAGAAGACGAAAATAAAAAATATTTGCCCACAGTCTGAGTGTGCCAGCTGTCGTTATATAATCGAAGAAAACCTCAAGTTAAAAATACCTCCCCAAAGTAAAGCAGTTAGCACTGGCTCAGACTATTGCAAATCTCGGGGCGAAGGGGAAAATATACTGTTATTACATTTCAGTTCTAAGGAAGATCTTTGATTTCCTCTTCTGCTCCTTGAGTGACTGTATGCAAAGAAGAATCGGCTTGTAAGATTTTTTTGGGGGGGGAGGGGGTCCAGTAACAGGACTGTGTTTTTGTTTGAACATTTTGTAACGATTAAAGGAGATTAAGGCTTTTTTTAAAACTGTTTTTGCGCTCAAACAGACATAAAGGACGACCCCAAGTGGCCGTTTTGAAAAAAGCACCAGCTATTGGAGACAAAAAGAGGAGCACAGAGAATTACAACTGAAGATGGGGCGGGGGGGGGACAAATCGGTGTAAGAGGAACAGAAACAAACAAACAAGGAACATTTCTGAGATAATAAGCTTTAACCTTTACCAACAGGGTTAATGTCTCCCTTTAAACCCCCAAACTGGAACATAGAGAACGTGTTGAAATGATCATTCTCTGCTTGAGTCTGCTGGGTTTCCTTCATCCACCTGTCTCTTTCGACATCCACAGTAATAATACCACGGTCGTTTTTCTGCCTCTGTCATTATTCAATTACTTTGTTTCTGATGCACACACAAAAGTCAAGGCTGATTTTCATGATGGACAGAAGCACCTTTCAGAAAAAAAATGTGGTGTTACTTTTTTCCCCTCCTCTCGTGAAAAAGATTCTATTCAAATCCCAAACAGAAGAGTATTTAAAAGTAGCCCCAGAGCTCGATCTCAGATCTGTTGCAGCACGGAAAGAGTTACATGTAATATACACTCGGTGTTTTTTCAGATCGAATCCCAATGGTTATTTCTACTTTTCCAGCCCGGACCTTAGATAAAATGCGACGACTTGCTTTATTTGTGTTCCGTTTAAAATGAACCATACACTGGGTCGCAGACAGAAATGCAGAGCAAAGGGTATGTAAAGGATCTCAGCCCGAAAGAAAGTTATAAATATCCCAGTTAGAACAGTCAAAACTTCGGGGATATCGCAAGAATTCTGTGGGGGGAAAGGACAGTTGGTAGAGGATAATGTAATGAAATACCACCTTAGTATTAGGCACGGAGGGGGGGGGGGGGAGCGGTATTCTGTGTGGCAATGAAATGTCCGCTCGTTTCATCTGAATGTCTCCAGTTAAATTTGCAGTATAGATAACAACGCATCAATAACGCTTTAGATCCGTGGTGTGGATCCGTGGTACCCCCTCTCTTCCCATGTACATGATCCAGAAGGTTTGTCCTCACCAGGGGGCCAAAGTGTACCTGAGCTGTTCCCGTTCCAAATCCCAACCCGCGTTTCATTTTAATCACATATAAGCAAATATAATATCTCCCCCCTGCAGCTTCTCCTCTGCTCTAAACTCCTGCACGCAGGCAGAGTGCACCGTGCCACACGGGGCAGGACCTTGACGCTTGTTCCTTTCTAACTGGGGCTGAGTCTACTTGGCAAACTGGCCCTGCTCGGCCTCGTTCGCAAACACGGGGAGACCCTGAGTTCAAATTCAGTCGGCTGGGCTTTAGGCGGAATGCTTGATTCGTAGCGATCCTGAAACCGGGGCGCGTTGCTTTGTTATTTAAGGAGCTCGGGGATACAAAGGTGGGGGGGGATTCTCTTTCAAAGGTGTATATGTTCAGAAGGCCGATGGGCTCTCCCAGAGCCCACTGGAACCAACTGGTTTGGGGAAGTTTTTTAGAGGGAGATTTCAGAGGCGGCAGAGAAGACAGCACTGTGAAGCGTCTCTCCTCGCTCTAGCACTTACTTGGGGCTTTTAAGCTTCTGCAATGGGCTCCAGTGTGAATCCCTTGGAGGGAGGGTGTGTGATTATTTAGGTACTGCTGGGTGCCCTGTGACAGCAGCATGTTAAACATTACAGTTGTAAGGGGTGGGAGTTAAGGTTGCTTGAGAGAGGGGGAAATCTGCCGAGCATTTCGAAGGTGTCGTTCATTTAGAGCGAGTAAGCAAAACCTTTCCAATGCGCCATCAGACGAGGTGATACTTTCCCGTTAATGACTGAGGTATATTCGCAAGGTGGAGCTACTGGAGGACTGAGGAAGCATTGATCGGATAGCTCTCTATCCACTCATAATACAGTTCAGCTTGTCTCTATTTTATGTTCCCTTTGCTTTACCGTTTAAGCTTTAATCTGCAAATTGGTGCTGTAGGTTCACTTCTAAGTATATAGTCGTCATCCTATAATATCCAGGGTCTGTTTTACTGCCATTAGATACTTGCACGTTAATGGTTAAGAAACTGCCCACCACAAAACTTGTAGCATTACATCAGTTGGCTGGAAAAGACCTTTTGAGCGGTGATTTAGTTTATTGGGGACTTTGAATTCAATCATCAAACCTTAATCAGTCTCAGACTTATGCATGGGGGAAATCTTCCCTTTGTCGGACCCCGTTGGGCGTCAGGACTCTGAAGGAAGGTTAGACAAAAACCATACGCAGAGCAAGAGGGCTTGTGAGAGGAGAAGCCTGCAGACGCTAGACTAGTTCCCCAATACACACCTGAAAGAGGGGTCCTCTGCTCTGCCCTAGAGACAAGTTACTGAACAACCCAGCGAGGGAGTGACGGCCAGAAACAGCCCTCTCCGTCACCTAAAATCACCACTGCAATATGTTAAGCATCCACGTCAGTAAGAGACTTCAGTGCTAATGTATCGTCCAGTTCCCTCGCTCAAGGAACCATCATTCTATCACGAAAGTGATACAGACAGATTCCAGTGTATGTCTCTATAGATAGTATACAGCTCTGTACTGTAGGTGGTACGCTTGGAAAAAAATGGTAATTTTGGAGCTTTACAATTTTTTTCAGGGTATAAAATGCTCCATCACTTAATAAGCACCTTCAACAATTGAACCCCAGACTAAATAAAAACCTAATTGTGTGGGGGTGCGGGGAGCATGGAATGGAGATTTACCATCTGTATGGCTTCATAGCTCAGCTATACAAATCGCATTCCCCCCCTGAAATCATAAGTGCAAACTTCTTTAATCGGGACCCAGTTTCAATGCCAAACTGTGGTGTTGATTTTAATACAAATAAAAATATAGGCTGAAGTTGGGCATGTATTTTAAAGCACATATTGAAGGTTCATTTCAAACGTGCCTCACTGCTTTCCCCCGCGTCAGAATCACGAAGAGTTCAAACCTGTTTACAGAAGGAATTTCATTTCATCTCAGCTATAAAGCTAGCCGAAGGTGGGAGGAATTTAGAGCCACTGAAATTTAAAGATCGCTTTTTTAAAATCTCGTGCAGATACATACCTCAGTCCGTGTGGTTTTGGGCTGAATCCTAGATTAGACATTTTTGGAAGGAATCATGTTACGTTCGCAGCCCTAAATTCTCTGTGTTAGGAACACGATGGATAGGTTCAAAAAAGTAAGAAGCAAAAACCGATTTAAAAACAAATATAAAATCACTCTTTAAAAATACCCCTTCACCCCACTGCTGCTAATTCTTTAGCGTTTGCTGATTGATACATTTCACCCCGAAGAAGGGTTTTCCCCATATAACCTATTAGTGGGATGTTTTGTCTGAAGTTAGTTTTGTGAAGAAACAAAAACAGGCAGATCAGAAAATCGGCACTGCTGGGGAGGTGGGAGGGAAAGGACAGCACTTTGCCCCCTCGTACCACTTTTCTTTCTTTCTTTTCTTTTTCAAAATTTCCAAAACTGCCAGCAGATACCGCGTTGTGTGTTATGTTTTCCTGCGTTCGCAGCAAGAGACCTGGTTAATCATCTATTGCAGCTACATGTGCATCAGAAAGAAAAGTGTTGATGGTTGCTTGTTTGGCTTAATGGAGATGGCCCACGAATTTAGGATTAAATTACTAATGGTAATCGTAAATCTTTTTCTTTCTCTTTTTTCTTTTCTTTGCATGGATTGTCAAAATAAACATGTAACATTCTTTGGGAAAAGTCTGCCCAGCAGCTTTGCAGTATAAAACAGGCTATT